CTAAGCTACACGTCACGGGTGGAAATTATACTTTTTGTTTAAACCAGCAACGATATTAAAGTTCTGCCGTATAATTTCACAGTCGGCGTAGGTAAATAACAACATAACCTGTACTACTAGTCGGCTGTCTTGGCGTTGTGTTGTGACAGCGCCAAGTTTGAACTCGTGACGTCACCGATCAGCTGGTAATTGAATCAGCTGATTCCCCATCCCTAGAGGATTAGGGAGGGGGAAGTAGTGGAGATCCCTTGTGGGCTAGGGATGCGACGACATTCTAATTCTGCGATTTACAGCGTTAGGACGTGTCTTGCTTTGAAATGAAGAGTGATTTGGCTAAACGTGTGCTTAGTGTGTTTTAGTGAAGGTCCCTGGAGTATACAGGTAATTCACCGATTTTCTTAGTAGTGTTTATTATTAGTCAAGGCATTTATTCTGCAATTAACCCTCATTTTATTCTTTTAGACATAGAACACACGGTAGGGTCTTTGATGGGTGTTCGAACCTGTATAAGTCCGCTTTAGCGTATGCTAGGGCTCCCGTGGGTGGCAATAAAGAGTTTTAGGGATAAAAAAATTTTGTTTAATATTGTGTTTACAATATCTATTGAGGGTGACGGGGTTTTAACGAATATTTTGCCGAGATATTCAGTTGGAGTTGAACTGCTGCGACAAAGCGGGCAAAGTTGAACCCGTCTCTGCAGGTCGTGCAACCACGAGGTCGGGTGGAGCACGCTAAGTATTCAGAAGTTATATTCTAAGTGTTGAGGTTGACGAAACTGCAACCTCAATTTATTTCAAAATTTCGTTGAATGGTTTTTCATTATTTTTAAATTTAATTTAATTAGCTGTTCCCAGGTGTGAACGATGATGATGGTACAGTAGCGTTGTTGGTTACCGGTACTGAGTTCACACCTGATTCACACTACATTTTTGCGTAAATACAAATCTGTACCTGTGCTAGGTTGTTGAGTTAATTAAATAAATTATTTTTATCTGAACCCTGGAAACTTCCCAGCACGCCGATTTGAGCGATCCGCTGGCGAGAGTTGGTGACGTCTTTCCCGCTTTAACTACGGAATAGCGCATATATTCCGAGCGGGAAAAACGGCATGTTACACAACAATCAAACTAGTATTAAAGTTATATCTTTCTCCTCACCATTGGCAGAAGTTTTTTCTGAATTCCCTGATATTATTCGTCCTCCAGGCTTACCTCGTGCTGTGAAACATAAAACAGTTCATCATATAAATGTTACACCTGGTCCTCCTGTTCACTGTCGACCACGTCGCTTACATCCTCAAAAACTGAAAGCTGCCTGGAAAGAATTTGAGGAGATGGTTAAGCTTGGTATTGCCCCTGGTCCTCTCCTTTGCACATGGTGCCTAAAGGGGAAAATGGATGGCGTCCTTGCGGTGATTACCGCGCTTTAAATGCTCGTACTGTTCCTGACAGATACCCTGTACCACATATTCAGGATTTCTCGTTCAATTTAGCAGGCTGTACACATTTCTCTGCCATTGATTTGACCAAGGCTTACCACCAAATTCCCGTCCACGAAGATGACATCCAAAAAACAGCAATCACCACTCCATTTGGGTTGTTTGAATTTCCATACATGACTTTTGGCTTGCGCAACGTGGGTCATACATTTCAAAGATTCATAGATGAAGTTATTCACGGCCTTGACTTTTGTTATGCATATATTGACGACATTTTAGTATTTTCCCAGTCTGAAGAAATACATAAAGAACACCTAAGAATGTTGTTTGAACGACTTTCTGACTATGGAGTAGTTGTAAATCCATCTAAATGTGTAATTGGTGTACCAGAAGTTAAATTTCTAGGTTATCTAGTCTCATCTGCTGGGACACGTTCACCTCAGGAGAGAGTCACTACTCTACAAGACTACCAGTTACCTCAGACAATGCGTGGTCTTCGCAGATTCTTGGGAATTATGAACTTTTATCGTAGGTTCCTGCCTAAGGCCGCTGAATTTCAAGCACCTCTGCACTCCCTACTTAGTAACGCTGATTCAAAAGGTTCCCTCCCTGTGCCCTGGACTCCAGAGACAGAAGAAGCTTTCCAAGCATGCAAGGCTAGCTCATCATCAGCAACACTATTGTTTCATCCTAAACCTGATGCTCCTCTTGGTCTCTTTACAGACGCCTCTGGAGTAAGTGTAGGTGCTTGCCTCCAACAGTTTGTCGATGACTCTTGGCAACCTCTAGGTTTTTTCTCCAAGAAACTATCATCCAAACAGTGCAAATGGCCTGCATACTACAGAGAACTCCTCGCTATTTATGAAGCTGTGCAGCATTTCCGTCATCTCTTGGAAACAACTTCTTTCACTATATTCACAGATCATAAACCACTTATTTATGCCTTTCAACAGCGCCGTGACAAGTTGCCTCCAGCTCAGTTACGCCAACTTTCATTTATCTCTGAGTTTTCGACAGACATAAAGCACATCAGTGGCTCACAAAATATAGTTGCTGATGCTTTGTCACGTGTTGAAGCCATTTCAACTGTTTTAGATCATGAATCCTTAGCCAAGTCGCAAGAGTCGGACGAAGAACTTCAAAATTTCATTTCAGAAAGTACTACATCTCTTAGATTGGAGAAAGTTCCAATTCCTGGAACCCAATTGAGCCTTATCTGTGACACCTCAACAGGAACTCCTAGACCCTTTGTGCCATCAGGACTGCGACATAGAGTTTTCGACCAGTTCCACAAGCTGAGTCATCCTGGAATACGTGCCACAACAAAACTTATCTGCGATCGTTTTGTCTGGCCTTCCATTCGTAAGGATTGCCACAAATGGACTCAATCTTGCCTCTCATGCCAAAGATCTAAGATAACTAGGCATGTTTCTACCCCTCTTGGTGATTTTCATACACCTACAGAACGTTTTTCTCATGTCCACATTGACCTAATTGGCCCACTTCCCTTGTCAAAATCTTCTAGGTACTGTCTAACTATCATAGATAGATTTACTCGTTGGCCTGAAATTTGTCCTATTGATCAAATAACTGCAGAATCTGTTACTCGAGCGTTTGTCTCTACTTGGATAGCTCGATTTGGATGCCCAGAAAAGTTTACATGTGATCGTGGATCCCAGTTCACATCGACTTTGTTTAAAGAACTAGCGCGACAGTTGAGCATAAAGCTCCAGTGCACTACCAGCTGGCATCCACAAGTCAATGGTATGATTGAAAGACTCTACCGCCAGTTGAAAGCTGCAATAATGGCTCACAGCAAATCAGACTGGACCGAAGTACTGCCCTTTGTCCTTCTCGGAATAAGATCTGCTTTCAAGGAGGACATCACTGCTTCATCGGCTGAACTGGTGTACGGAGAACCACTGCGTCTTCCGGGAGAGTTTTTCGTAGTACCTTCCCACGAGAGCAACGAGCCACAAGGATTGGTATCAGGGCTGCGTAAGCATATGAATCGACTAAGACCTACACCCGCATCACGCCACATTAAACCAGGGTCGTTTGTGTTCAAGAACCTCAGTACTTGTGACTTTGTATTTCTTCGACAGGACTGTTATAAGGAAATCTTTACAGGCCCCATATTCTGGTCCTTACAAGGTCATATGCCGTGACGAAAAGACAATTACCATCATTGTAAGAGGCCAAGAAACTAAGGTATCTTTGGACAGGGTCAAGCCAGCCTATATTATTGCAGATGAAAATCCTATTCCTGAGCCCACGAAACGTTTGGTGCCGACTGGACAAACAGAGGAAACCTCAAAACTACCACCATCTTGTCAAACTCCATCTACGAAGTCTTATACAACTCGTTCTGGAAGACAAATCCGACCACGGGTTACTTTTCAAAATGATGTATAGATTCCTTTTCTCCGTGGGGGGCTGGTGTAGCGTCAGCTGATGACATTGTCATAGCAACTAGCAACGCATTAAGTTAGTCTGGTTTTTGTTTTCTACAGGAATGTACACAAAATTTAACTCTCTTATTAAACTACTTTTCTTTTACTTATTTGGTCGTATTTCATTTGATATACACAAACATCCACGACCAAACATACAACACAATAAATAAATATGGGGAGTAAAAAAAATTAAAACATGAACGCCAACAATATAAGACAAAGATACAGAAAATGCAATAACATAATTTGAAACCAACTAGGCCTGTGTAGTGATAAAAAATTAATGCAAACAACAATGCTTGTGGTTTTGTCAATTGAAAGATAAAATATCCACAAAAAGGGGGTTAACTTACAAAATAAGACTGTAGATTAGTTACAGGTTTAATATGAAACCATAAACAGCTTTATGGCACTAGGCAATGGCCAGCGGCAAATTGAATCTTCATGACTCTTCATGAGGAAAGTACAAGTAAGAAGTGAAATTTAACAGCCATTATAAAACTTTTATTTCCATGATGAAATAGGTTTGGGATCTAATAATTATTACCCTAGTAATAAATAAAGAAGTTGTAAAGGAATAAAAGTGATACAACTTTTATGAGCTAAGCTGAGTCAACTGAGTCAACAGTTCTTGGAAGTACTTGACTTGATACTTGATTGTAGTGATAAAATATTAATGGGTTTGATGCTAATGGGGTTTTCATTGCATAATTACTCTAGTAATAAATTATGAAAATGTAAACAAACATCTGATAAACCTTTTATGTGCTCCTAACCAACTAGCGATCGATAAAATTAAGGCCCATTAAAAATTTAAGGACATAGTATGGCATTTAAGGACAATTCCCGTACATTTCATGGCCAGTAAAAAATTAAGTACAATCCCCGGTTTTCCCGGATTTCCCGGTTGGTAGACACCCTGTGGACTCTGTCTACCAGGTAAGCTAGCTGATCCATATCCTTGAACATAATAATCCTAATGAGCCAATTGGCCTTCCTTAACTCCTGACTTGTAGTTGTGAAAGAGATTCGCACTACATCACATGACATTCGTAATACACACTGTATGAGTTGTTAAACATAAGACCAAGGGAAGTATAGCTTACTTAGTGAGATTAGGAGCCCATCCTACCCGGACCATGTACTCAAGCCAGGGGAAGCAATGGCTCAATGGATACTGCAGCTCTAGATTGTGGATGTCTGTGATCTGTAAGCTATCACTCAACCGAAAGGTCAGCAGCTTCAGGTTGGATTTGGAGTTGGGCGTTCCTGCCCGAGGAAATCTTAAAACAAATAAATTGAATTTATAGCACACTATTTTTGGTGGCAAAATGGTAGATGAAAAATTATTTAACATTTGCAGAAAATTACACTTTAGTTTAGTTCATTTTAAAACAAAGTTTTAATATATATATAACAACTCAAGTCTTGTTAAGAAACAAAAAAATAGGCCCTACCCAAATTAAGAATAAATCAATAACGCACCAATAAAGCAGCTTAAAAGAAGTTTTGTTGTTTTAAAACTCAGCATTATTATGAGCTTGATTATGTTTCTGATATAGTTTGTCTGTTTTAATAATTATTTAAAATGTCTATTTTCAATTTTAAACAATGACTTAAGATGTGTATATTTACCATAAAAACCATGATTTATTCCATTAAAAGCACAGATTTTTATAGTTATTTACAATTTTTTTTTATTTACAAATTTTTTTTAATAAGATTACCTGTATTGTTCTACCTCTCCACTGCTGTTAGAATTTGAAGAAGGGAAACTGTAAATTTTTACATCACTTTCGTCTGTTTCTTCATATAATATCCTATAGGTTCCATCTAAAACAAACAAAATACAATAAAAATTAAACCTAACTCGTATGACTTCTTCTAAGATCATTTTAGATTACTCACTGTGTGTTTATTTGACTGTTCAAACGTTTACTCCTAAGAGAAAAAATAACAAATTTAATTTTGAAAGTTTAAGTTGATAAAACTGAAATTATAGGATGAAAAAACCGGAAACAATATATCCTGAAGGGGTGTGCGATGCATCGAAAATGCATTGAAAATCTGATTCGATTTGATTCGATGCATCAAATCACAATTCGATTCAGTAGTGATAAAAAAACTATTCAATTCAATAGGGAGTCAGTATCCATACCTATACGAAAAACGCCAGCAGAAAGTCAACGCAATACCCACAGGTTGATGTGCGTTTCCTTTGCGAAGGCGTTCTTATTTAGTTAATTCTTTGCTTGTAAGAATTGCTTTAATTGTTTTATATTTTTTGTTTTATCATTGCAAATGATAAAAAGTTCTGTTAAGTGTAAGCAGTGCAAGACATGTTTTACTACTGTAATAGCCAAAGCAAGTCACTCCAAAATCATTCTAAAAATAACACAGGTCTGAAAAATTGTTCCTTGATACTAAACTAGTAATTGATGTTTTAGACTGATAAATTTGGTATTTTTTGTCTGCTATGTATTCCTTGTAGTTTGTAGGTCTGATTCTATCATCTCATATTATCAATTTGAATCAATTGAAAGTTTCAGTACAGTTTAAATCTTGCAAATGTTTTTATTTGTTTACTCCAAAACATATCTTTATTTGTAAAATCAATATTATAAAATAGGAAACATGCTTAACAATATGATTCTGCAAGTAAAGTAAAAATTATGAAATAGGCAATTAAAGCAGCTCACTGGCATTTCCAGCAATATAGGATCTTCTAATATATGATTGAAAATAAATATTTTTTCACCTAAAATTCACATAATGCCATATGAATGAATAGGTCTAAAACCACATCAACAAAAATTTGCATTACACAAATGTGGTAAATTTTAATAAGCCTAGGCTATTTTATTTTGAAAACTGAGTTTATTATAATAAATTTTGCCTTTTTAGACACAGCAGCAATAAACTTATATTTATTATCTAAATAATAAGTTACTTAGATTAATAATTTTGTCCTGTAAATTATGTTGAATGATTTTACATTATCCTTTTAACACTTAAATGACTATTTCATTTTTTAATTTTGATGTCAGATTATTTTATTTTTAATTCGACAAAAATTGTTGTAATAGTCCCTCTTGCAAAAATCATTATGCCAATTACAGATATATAATTTAGAACATATTTAAATAATTTTCACATTAACTATAAATTTTTCTCTTGTCTTCATCTAAGTAACTTCACTCCATTGACAAGCATGAATAGTAAAATGCCGTATTGCTTCGAATCGAGTTCCATCGATTCAAATGGAAAAGCTTTAGAACTGAATTGTTGCTTCGAATTGAAAATATTTTGCTGCTTCGCACACCCCTGTATCCTAGTAAAATAAAACATTCAAAATTTACTTACAATTAATAATTTTACATCCAACCCTAAAAGTGTTATCCGTAAGGGGGATGACTAAAGTTAAATTATCCAAAAATACTCTGTGGTACTATTGATAACTGAGCAAAAACATAGCTGTGCAAAAATGAATTTAATTAAGGTACATCTCAACGCCCTAATTGTAAGGTTAAGGAGCCAAATGAAACAGGGACATATCTGTTTTCCTATTAAATGTTTCAATTTGAAGATACAGTATCCAGGAAATTACTCTAACGGATATATCTAAATAATATTTTGTGGAGGCACAAATAGGAAGCATAATATGGAATACCCAAGTTAGTTGTACCTGTAGTTGCTGGCTGCCACCAGTAGCCTTGGTAGCGGTTGAACTCTTCCTGCATCACATAGGAGGGTATCCCTGCAGTGAGTGGGTCGTCTGCTAGGGTCCTGCCTCCCTTGTGAGCATAGGTCAACCTTTGAGTGCTCCCTGTCACCACAAACAGCCACTTGATTAGACTCAGCATGACAAACCATCCAGTAAAACCAGACCCCATACAACCCCAATCCCCAAGGGTCTTTTTATAAGTTGTTCCACATAAGAACTGTAATAAATCATTTTATTGTAGTTATTAGCCTCCGGATTGCCAAATAATATTAAAGAAGGTAATGTAATTTAATGGATTTCTTAATAGCAGGTTATTAAATCCTTTTTAATAAATAATTTTAGAGATGTGCAAGCACAGGTTTTCCAGGTCGAGTTGAGTTGAGCTTAATCCAAAAAGATCAAAGGACGTGTAAGTTTAGGTAACTCCTTAGGCCTAAATCATGTAACTTGTAAAAAACCTTGTTACAAGTTGAAGACCATTATAAATAAACTAATTATCAATATTCGTGCAGTAACATATCTGTAGCGTATTCCTAAGAAGGCTTTTTTACAAATAAAGTGGACTGTATATGAAGGGATGATTAATTTAATTTTGGTTACAAAAAATAATGTTTTGAACTTTTGATTTCAATTTAGATACAGAATAAGTGGTTAAGTTACCACACATGATGTTCTGCAAGGTCTGGTAGAGAATGTACGAGTGCGTTTCTTCTGATGAAATTGTATATTCTTCAAATAACAGTTTTAGAGTTTAGATTTTATTTAACACATACACAACTTAAGTTCAAAATACATTTAAGTGGTTAATTGGTTAAACAAAGAAAGAGTTAATTGAATGAAACAATATAACAGGAGAAAAGAATAAAATAGCTACACAAAAAGATATGAAGAAGGTAAAAAGCACAGTTTTTAAGAACAGAATGTTTAAATTTATAAATTTGTATTATTGTATTGTTGTGGCCATGTGGGGATTTTGCAATATGCTCTCTCTCTCACACACATATGATCAGCTAGCCCGCTAATGAATACTGAACATACCGGCCTCTATAAAACGATAGTTTTATAACAATGAACATAAAATTGTACCTAAAAACGGAGCACTGAAGAATATTCTGAATATTATTTACAACTATTTACAGGTTTGTCTTTGAATGTACGTGTTAGCCTCCCACACGAATTATGCCGAAAGTATCCAGAAAAGGGTCTAAATGTCAAAGATTAGTAGAGTCGATTCAATCGTAAAACATGTAGTTTGGACGCACTTGATGATGGTAGGCCTACGCTCTGAGTTCTTAAGTTCTGAGACGGTAAGATGCCCATGTCTTCGGTCAGAGCTACGTCCATTATGGGTAAACCGCAAGACATAGCTTGTTACTCTGAGTAGTTTGGGCCACGATGAGTACTTGGAGAGAAGATCCCATTCTGGAGGTTGGTTTGAAACTAGGACATTTAGAAGAGTTGTTTTACATTCTTGAGTGTCTTGCAAGTTTATGGGAACGAAGCGATTAGATGGCCAATGATCATCTGAAAGAATTAACCATGGAGGGCCATTCCACCATAGAGGATGATCAATGAGTTGAGCGGGAAGCAAACCACGTGACGCACAATCAGCGGGATTGTCCGTTGAGGGAACGTAGCGCCAGGAGTGAGAGGGGATCAATTCTTGGACGTGAGCAACTCTGTTGGCAACATATGTTTTTAGTCAATATGAAGGGGTGTGTAACCAAGTGAGGGTTACTGATGAATCACACTACAATGTAGTTTGAGAAAGGTCAATCTTTTCTTTGAAAATTGTACAGCAAGTAAGTGTGCACCACATAGTTCCAAGCAGGGTCGAGTAACTCGTTTCAAAGGAGCTACACATGTTTTTGTGAGAATCTGACGAGTGATGATTTCTCCAGTTGAAACTCACAGAGTAAGCTTAAAACTGCTGAGTATCCTACTTCGGAGGCATCTGAAAATCCATGGAGTTGTAAGGAACATGTGGTAGTATAGTGGAACGAGGGAGGGATCTTAATACTTGAAATTAGAGAGGTTTCATCAATGGAAATGTGCCATTTTTTGGCGAGTTTATTTGGAAGAGTGTCATCCCATTGGACACCCTTTGATCAGAGCATTTGCATAAAGGTTTTTGTCCACATGGTCACGGGTGACAAAAATCCGGTAGGGTCGAAAATGCGTGCTATAATGCTCAGCACTGATCGTTTTGTAGGAGGACCACCAGGGAGACTTAAGTTGTAAGTAAAACAATCTTAAATTGGTGACCAATGTAGTCTAAGGCCCCTATTAGCCGTAAGCAACATGTGGCGCAGCTAGTGGAGTCGCTGGTGTCGGACGTGTAGAGGAGCATGGAGTCAAATGGTGCCTTTTAGCCACGGGGAGACCGGTGGCGCCGCCGAAAAAGCTGCCCAAGATGTTGCGGGGAGTGATTTTGCCCGGCAACATGTGTCGCGGCCGTTTTAGTGTCCAGGCAGTCGGGGGGCATTGCAGTATATGGAGCCTATTAGCCGTGGGCAACATGCGACGCCACTGACTGCGCGCGCATTCGCTAATAACGTGAAAACGAAGCATGCCACACAGTCTACATCGTGGTTTGAGTCGATTGAGACGTGCCTCGCCATATTGCTGTTCTATTCATTAGTGACTGCTGTTCACTTTGTTTACCAGTGACATTTTTAACAGAGTATTCTTTTGTTTTTGTGTCATTCATTAGCGTTTTAGTTGTCTTTAGTTTTGAAAAAAAAAAACAATGTCTAATGCCAATAGTGTCGTGGTAATTGTGAATGCAGTATAAGAAATCTCAACTCCAACACCGGTAACCAATGAAAAAAAAAAAAACAAGCCGCTGCAAAGAAGCAAGAGGAGCAGTTGAAGAGACTCATACAGGAAATAGAATCCAAAGTAAACGTTGAGGACCTCATTTATGAAGTAGAGAAGAGACCACCAATTTGGGACTGCAGGGTGGAAGGTTACTGCCTAGGCACTAGAGTGGGATGTCTCCAAAACTTCCTGACTTTTCGCCTCCTTTTTTTAACAGGAGAACAAGAAGAAGGAGCTCCAAACTGCTCAACGTCATGTTTGACATTAGTGTTGTGGTGAATTCCGCTGTTTGAGCGAGCTATGAATGTGTCGCGCGACTAGTGTCCAGGTTCCAAAACGCTGTGGGTCACCGGCATCACCACCGGCGGCTCCACTAGCTGCGCCACATGTTGCTCACGGCTAATAGGGGCCTAAGAATGGCGAAATGAGGGTGATTAGTGGCTTTGAAGAAGACTGGTGTTTCTAGATGATCTTGAGGCAAATCTTGGAGTAGTTCTAGGCAATTGGATGTCCATTTTCTTAGCTCAAAACCACCACGTGTGAGAAGTTTGATCAGCTGATCTCGTAGTTCTTTAGCTTCGTTGAGTGTATGAGCTCCACAGATTAGGTCATCAACATACTTATGATCCCGTAAAACTTTGGCTGTTGCTGGGAAAGAACCTCCATCGTCATCAGCAAGTTGTTGTAACGTCCTGATGGCGTGGAAAGGTGAACTGCTTAGACCGTATGAAACTGTCATTAATTTATATGTGGAGATTTCCTGAGTCTTTGGATCAAGCCATAAAATTAACTGATACTTCTGGTCGTCAGGATGAACTTGAATGCAACGATATTCCTGCATTATTGCATTTTCCTTATATGAAACTGAACACATCATTATGTGAACGAAAATTCAACAAAATATCACAAATGTAAATTTGAAGTTTGGGACTTGTTAACAGAATACCATTTAGTGTGATGTTATGAAAAGAAATGTTTAGAAACCAAATTTATATGGTTTTATTCAACTTAATAGTCAGCTACATTTTACATGAGAGAATTGCACAAAACTGTAAACATTACATACATAAACAAAACAGTCTTAAATAAAACAGCTGAATAAATATTTGACAGTACAAAAGGAATCATATTACATAACATTCACCCCATCTTTTTTTTTTAAATGTAATCCCTTAGATAGGTGGGAGGTCTTCGGACTCTAGTGGAACGACGCAGGTTTGTTTCTTCGTTATCCCTCACAGAAGTAGGGGTCACGGTCTCATGCAGTGGGGATGTTTCGATTTCAGATTGAATAGAGTTCCCAATTTCAGGTTGAAGCAGATTTGATTCACGTCTCAGGTCTTGAAGAGCAGGATCTAGTTCTTGACTGGGATTTTCCGAAGTCACTGGCTCATCCTCTTGTTGGATAGCTTCAGGAGGAACAGCGAGATGTCGCACCGATACCAGAGCCTCTCTACCATCTCTATACTTGATGCGAGCATAGTCTGGATTAGCCTCTATCAGCTGAGCTTGTTCCACTAAAGGTTCATATTTGTTATTTCTTACATGCCTTCTCACTAATACTGGTCCTGGATTCATGAGCCATTGAGGTTGAGAGGTGCCATAAAATGATCGTCTCTGGTGTTTGAAAAGTCGTTCATGTGGCGTCTCATTCGTAGCTGTACATAGTAACGAGCGTATACAATGCAAAGCTTCTGGCAAAACATACTCCCACTGTTCTGTCTTCAGTCCCTTGTTTCTCAGAACAAGAGATACAGTCTTCCAAATCGTTCCATTATATCGCTCAGCTTGAGAATTACCTCGAGGGTTATAAGGTGAAGATCGGCTAGTGGCGATTCCTTTAGAGTGTAAGAAATCACTCAGTTCTTTTGACATGAAAGCAGAACCTTGGTCGGAGTGGACAAAAGCAGGCATACCAAAGATGGTGAAGATTGATGTAAGTGCTTTGATGACAGAAGATGCTGATGTGTCCGAGCAAGGAATAGCAAACGGATATCTTGAAAACTCATCAACCACCGTGAGTATGTATTTATTCCTTGTCACAGATGGTATTGGCCCCTTAAAATCAATGTTAAGTCTCTCGAAAGGAGCCATTGCATGGATGAGTGTTGATGGGGTTTTTTGGTAGAACCGAGGTTTCACTTCCGCACAAACAGAGCATGAAGCGGTCATTCGCCTGACATCTTCGATAGAGTAAGGGAGATTTTTACTTTTTAAGAAATGAACCATCCGTACTATTCCAGGATGCCCAATGTCACAATGAATTCTACGGAGTTTTTCGAAATCTCTACAAGAGATGGAAGATGAAACTCGTGAAAATGCATCTGCTACTACGTTTTCCTTGCCAGAACGGTACACTATGTCATAAGAGAAAGGTGCTAGTTCCAATCGCCACTTTAAAATCTTGTTGTTCTTAACCTTTCCCGCGTGTTTCTGATTGAACATATATGACACAGATTTCTGGTCTGTAATTAATTTAAACCGTCTTCCAATCAGGAAATGCCTCCATTTCTGTATTGAATCGAATATTGCGAGGGCCTCTTTTTCCACAGCAGGTAGATGTTGTTCACTCTTAGTTAGGGTTCTTGAAAAGAAACATATTGGCCTTCCAGCTTGTGAAAGGGTAGCCGCTATAGCTGATTCAGATGCATCTGTTTCTACAGTAAATGGAATATTCTCTTCAACTGCAGACATACTGGAGTTCGCTATTTCTTCTTTTAATGTCTTAAAGGCCAATATTTCTTTACTGCCTACTGGGAATGATTTGACTGTAGTAAGGCAATGAACCTTTTCAGAGAATTTAGGAATCCACTTTGCGTAATAGGACAACATGCCAAGAGCTCTTTTAAGGCTTGCATTATCAGTTGGAACGGGGAAATTCAAGAGTGATTGCAGGCGGTCAGGATCAGGACGCATGGACATGTTTTCTACAATGTACCCCAGAACTGGAATGCTGGTCAACGAAAACTTAGATTTTTCTTTGTTCAGGGTAAGATTATACTTTTTAGTTGCTTCCATGAATCTCTGTAGGTTTTGATCGTGTTCTGCTTGGCTACGACCACAAATAGTTACATCGTCCAGATAAGCAAACGTGTCTAGTAGATTTTCATTTTCTATAATCTGATCAATAGTTCTTTGAAAACACGCCACACCATTAGTTACGCCGAAAGGAATTCGAGTGTATTGGTAAAGTCTCCCATTAGCTTCAAATGCAGTGAATGGTTTATCTTCATTCCGAATAGGTATTTGGTGATATGCCTCCTTCAGATCGATTGTACTGAACACTTTGTATTGAGCAAGCTTAGAGACAAATGATTCAATGTGAGGTAGAGGGTAGGCATCAAGCTGTGTGAATTTGTTGATGGTTTGAGAGTAGTCAATACAGAGACGTCTCTTGTGCCCATTGTTGACCACAATCACTTGTGCTCTCCAAGGTGATTTACTCGGTTCAATTATTCCTTCTGATATAAGCCTACTTACTTCACTTTTTATGAACTTACTATCATCTTCAGAGTAGCGGCGGGACTTGATGGCTACAGGCTTGACGTCATTAGTTAGATTATCAAACAGTGGTGGTGGTGATACTTTAGCCCTAAGTAGATTGCAAACATTGAAGGGTGGGCGTTTACCACCGAAATTCAGCTCCACAGCAGAATGTTGCCGAAGGATGTCATGTCCAATTACAACATCGGCACATAAATCAGTTAAGATGAGCAGCTTTGTCAGTGGGTATTCGTGGCCATCGCACACCATGTCAACAATACAGTGGCCAAGAGTTGATGAAACATGACTTGTTGATGCCATCGATATTTCATGCTTTGTTGGGTATTTAGAAATATTGAATCTTTTCACAGTAGCTTCAGATATAAAACTGTCGGAACTCCCAGTATCAATGAGTGCATCTACTGGTTTGCCGTTTAACATCAGTGACACTGTAGCTTTTGAAAGACATTTTTGTGAGGCAGCAACAAGAGAAGAAGACATTGAGTTTATTTCTGTCTTATCACTTTGAGTTGTTTTACCCTTAAATGTCCTACTTTGGTTGCGAGAATTGCAAACTGTTGCCCAATGGCCTTTCTTGTCACAAATATTACAAACTGAGTCTTTGGCAGGACAGTTGGCTCGAGAGTGTCGTGACCGTCCACAAAAGAAACATTTTTCTCTTCTTATCGAGGATAATTGGTGTGAAGACGAATCAGAAGCTGTCTGAGAAACATTTGTATCAGTAACATCAACATCTTTAGGAGTTGACTGAGATATAGAGTTACAAGGGCTTGAAATATATGAAACCGCCTGATTTTCAGCTGATTCCAAGGTAATGGCTTGATTATAAGCTTCTTCAAGAGTCAAAGTTAGATTTTCAAGAAGTCTTTGTCGAATGGACTGTGATATTAGTCCTCGAATAAAAGCGTCTCTTATGTACTCGTTGCGATTTTCATTAGCAGTGACAGATTTAAAGTTGCATGCTTTACTAAGTTCTTTTAGTTTTCGAAGATACTGATCAATATTTTCTCCAGGTTCCTGTCTTCTAGTGGCCAGTTGATGACGTGAATATACCTCATTAGTAGGCTTTATAAAGAGTTTGTCAAGAATAGATATAGCTTCGGTATAAGAATCAGCCTCTGAGATTATTTCATGTATGTTGTAGTCCACAAAATTAGTTAGAAGTTTTAGTAGATCATCTTCTGCAGCACATATTTCTTCCACGAAATTCTTGAAAGTGGTTTTCCAATGTTTCCACTGACGATCAGAATGGGGATCATTAGGGTCTAAAGATAGGCGCTCCGGCTTGAAGAATTTATCCATTTAGATTTCTTGGAATAAACTTGAATAGAAAAGATAGAATACAACTATTAATCTTTTAACTATATTATTACAAGTTCTTCTATATAAGTTGAATAAATTGTTATGAAAAGAAATGTTTAGAAACCAAATTTATATGGTTTTATTCAACTTAATAGTCAGCTACATTTTACATGAGAGAATTAATTAAAGATAATTAAAGATAATTAATCATATTACATAACATGTGACACCGGTACTGGTTTTGCAACTACCATCAAAAACTGTACGAAGTTTGGCTGTACTAAGAATTTATCTTAAGCTTAAATTTGATTTAATTACCAAAATAAAATTATTACTATTTTCCTGATTTTGGCACTAGGACTTATATTCTATCACAATTTGACATTTACTCTTGGACACTAAGGTTTAGTGGGTTCAAAGTGTGGGAAGAATCATATTCGCATTATATTATTATATCATATTATTTTATAGATAGTAGGTATTCTATAAAAAAATAATGAAAAAGAGAATGAAAAACTAAACCTGTCACTGCAACTGAACCAATAAGCTAATAGTATAATATGTTACTAGTCCTGAAAATAGGGGGTTACCGGACGAGTGTTGTTTTCCCTGTGCGGGGTTACCATACGAGACCGGTAAAAACATTATTTACACACGAGTGACGTACAATATTTTACGCCCTACTATTTTAACCTAACTTAACAATAAAAAATCTGTACCAATCCTTATATATTCCCACTAACTAAAGGACTAACAATCACTAATCATAACATAACATCATAAGTGATAGAGTTTAAATGTTTTTGTTTATAACCACTCATTGCCAAATATCACGACATATTTGGCAGAGCTGGTTGGTGTCCAGTAAAAACTCATTACAGAACAGTAGTACGAAATGAAACTCCATTTAATTAAGCTGGCGGCAAACATCTGTTTTCTGGACTAAGTCCTTGCGTGGGAAGTTTGTTTAAAACAGTGTGGTGTGGCGTAAAGTATTTTAAACCTTGACATTAAGTAAATCTTTAAAACTTTTAATGCATTTCTGACTTGTCTTAATCAGTGTGTGAACAAAATATCATTTTATCTAAATAAAATATTGATCTGCCAATTAGTATGCAATAAGCGAATGTTACATCATTTTGATGTTTAGCCAAAAATTAACAATGCCAGAACCGTCTTGCAATGTTCTGGCTAGTTATCAATTTGAAAAGCTGCAGTATGATTTAAAGAAACAAAAACACAGACAGGTCTTGCCTTTTATGCAAGTTGTTTGTTTTAGTTATGTCCTATATTTATGAAATTGTATTTCAAAGTAATTACCTGTAAGTGTGTGCGAGACCCAAATATCAGAATTGCAGATATATGCAACCAAATCAGGATTTGACGGACAGATCTGTGGCATAAGTTTAGCACCGCTGGAATTCATTCTAAGTTCCGCTGGGAATAAAGGGCCATTCTGTAGAAAATAAGGTTTAAAAAAAAAAACAATAGAATACAACTGGTAATAAATTGATAATACGTTTAAATTTCACAAAAATAAAATCATCCTCATATTCTTGAGTGTGATTTCATACAAATGTCCCTAATTAAAGATAAAATATAATTACTACTAAACAATTGTGATTCATAGACTGAAAAACTATCTGCCTAGTTAAGTTTAACATGGCGGTTTATTCTCTAGATTTTTCCAGCTTTTTCAAGATTATTACATAATACTTAAACTTAATTAAAAAGTTCAAATTAGGTAGCCTAGCCTAACTAATTAAATTGTTTGTGTTAATAATTTATGAAACTTTTTAAATTATGTAGGCTACTTGTACATCTGAATCAATAAAAAAATTTAACAAAGACTATTAATACTACCATGTATCCAGTATCTATACACTGAAACAGTGTGCTGGCTGCCGGGAACACCAATTTCCCTGATGCTTGATGCAGTTCGTACGAGGTGATACCCCAAGTGGCAAGTCGACGACGTTCCAACATTAACTGCTCTTCCCTTGATGAACGACATCCTAACGATACACTCTGAAAATTTGACTCAATCACCGGATGCCATTGTAGCCTTCCGCTCTACAACAAACAAAAATTGTGTTACATTAAGAAGTGGTAGCTTATTTGGAACTAGGATGACGTAGATTTTGAACATGTAACAAACTTTCAAAGTTTTGTAGGTTTGGATAATTTAAAATAATATAAAACATTGACAAAACATTAAACACAAGATTAACGTTAAAACGCAAAACATAAAAAATAAAATATTAGGAAATTGAAATATTTAACTAGGAATGTCTATATAAAAACTAGAGGAAGTTGATGTTTTAATACTATAAATAAAACTATTAAACAGAAATAAATTAGCTAAGTTAAGGGTTCCTAAAAAATATTCTCAATGACAATTTATTAATACCCTGCAGAATGTGCAACTACCTTCAGACAATAATCTACCTATTCTATTAGAGACAGCATTGCATAAGATTTTAGATTGAAAATCTTTTCTATTTGACCACTTAATTTAACACCAATGGATAATTTGCTCTTTATAAAACTTAAAGGCAATTGAAATAAGTCAAATGGAATATTCTTTGACAATTTTGTATTGATTGAACCTAAGTTACTGAAAGAGTTTTTATGCAGCTTGCATTACTAGGTAAAAGCAAGATAAGTGAAAGTGCTAGACTAGTAGCTTTGCTAATGCAATCACAGAAAAAAATGAATATTTGTGATCATGAGGACATCATCATCATTCCCTCGGTCAGGGCAAAATCGTGAACATTTTTCTTGGTCTTTGGGACATTATGAATTTTCAACTGTGCTAATTCCACAGATGATTCCTGTGATCACAATAATATAACGAGAATTAAAAATTAAAACTTGACTTTGTGCTCGATCACTCAATCTTTGGCCTATTCGGTATTTGAAAATGTTTTTGTTTGTGTTCATCTCATTAAATGAAAATATTTTTTTATAGGTTTAGTTCTTTCCTATCATTGAAACATGTAAATTAACTTTAAACAATGTTAAGTTGATGAAAGCATTTTGTGATTGGGCTTAAAATAACTTACTGCTAAATATTAGTTCTTGAAATAATTTTATGTTCTCCGACAATCAAACAACAAAATTTTTTAAACTATTGTACCTAGGCCTATATAATTTTTGGTACTTTCCTGTTAAAGGGAACATTCATTATTATCGATGATTTATTTTCGATATATTGATATTTTTGTTTTACTTCACGATCCGTATTTTCCTTCTGTTTTAATATCTTCAACTGCATTTAAACTACAATTCAAATTAAGAACTAACCTTGTGATGGAAAATGTTCTCAATAAACTTTTAAACAACATTAACTCACCATCACCAACCAATGAACTTCAAACAAAGAATTTTTACAATAATAGCTAAGGTTACCTTAGGCTCATCAGGAACAATATCAGTGTAGAGCAGAGTTGTCTCCCAGCCATTAGCTGGAGTGCTAAGGAAAAATATTCGTGTGCGTCCATCTTTTAAAGTTCGGAATTCAACAGAGCTAGGGATGATTGTGGAGAGACTTGACAACTGGCGGCGAAGCTCTAACACTACTTGTTTCAATTCCGACCAGGACTTTTTATGGCCACCATTCTCCATTTCAATTTATAACCTGAAAAAAATTTAATTCAAAGAGTATCTAATAGGCGATCTATATTCGTATTAAATGATGATTAAATATCTCAATAGACACTACCTATGACATTAATTAAATATATTGGACAGCACTTTGTCAGTGGTCCAGTCAGACAAACTTATCATTTTACCTACACCAACTAGGCCTACTGTAGCCTATGCAATGAATGGTCTAAGGTCTAAAAGAGTGGAGTAGGATTAGGTAAAGCGTTCATTAACCAAGCAACTACCTATTTAAAATGAGGAGAGCTTAACTAACCAGAAGAGTTTACCAAACTTAAGGCTATTTATGAAAGGCATACCTAAATCAATTCCAAATTGTTGCTTAGTAGGTCTTTAAAAGTTAGAAGTTCATTTTAAGTAAGTCAATCTAAAGTAAAGGAATAAGAGTGATGGCATTAACAAAAAAATAATCAGCGTCTCAATTGCTAGGAAATGCTTAACCTGCGTACAGTTCCGCAGGGAACCTGTGATATGTTATCAGATGAACAACGATCGGATAAATATCTATATTGATTCCATTCCGTATAAGTTATTGATTAAAAAAAAATGTTCTCCCCAATGTACAAACATTAAATTGAGTTAGGCTGTATGATTTGTTTTTATTGATTATTTAATCAATAAGTTAAAAGCATCAACTAATGAATACTTAAGTAGACAACCCATTCATATGGACGAGCTGTGGCTAATTTTTATTAAAAAAGAACATGGTAGGCTACTTACGTTCTTTGGAACCAGTCACAGAATGCACTAGTGTCTAAAATTCTATTGTCCACCTTTTTCTTTTTGCTAACTAAGTTGAGGGGTCATAATAGTTGCCATAGCTTACAATAAGTCATTCTATTTTTGTTTGACTTGGTAAAAAAGTTCATGAATTCAAAAGAAATCAGTAGTTTACATCAGCACTTAAAAAAATCTGTCAGTGACTCAAATCAACTACAAAGATTTTAATTAAAAAACTGGCTACAACTTAAACATGGGTATGAAATAAAATGTCTATCTGTATTAATAGTCAAAGATAAAACTATCAATACTGTTTTTAACAAAAAGCCAATTATATTTTATGACAAGTAACAAAACAAATAATAATGGAAACCGTAATTAATGATAATGAAATAAATAAATATCATTAATAAAACATAGGCCTACTACCTTGGTAGATTTCTCAGCCTTATGGAACAGATGAAGAACATTTTTTGTTAGTTCTGTACAGTGCAATGTAGAGGTTGTGTTTTGCTTACAATTTGTTTCTTGTTATTTCACTCATTTAAAACCTTGTTAACCAAATAAAACTATCTAATCGTAAACAATAACTCGTTCCCTAGTTATAGGCCTATAACCAAACAGTAAAGCTCACATCATGGAAATAACCTAAAAATAATATAAACAAAATTTCGTCGACACTAGCGCCCAGTCTCACCGTATATGAACTAGACACAAAAAACAAGCTTCAAATTTTAAGTGGAATGGGATGAGAAGTCTATGTTTTGGTTAGTCTAAGGTAATAAGTTAGGTACCGTACTAAAAAACCTACAAATCTGGGTATAGTACATATCAATAATGTTGATATAATAACCACATAGAAATAGAAAATTCATGGTTTCTTCCATTTCTATCCTTTAGAGGTAGGCCTAGCTAAGAAAAAATAAGGGTAAAATAACAAATACCCCCGCCACAGCAAACCTGCAGACTAAGCAAATTTCCATTTGCCTGATTGGATTTACACTAAAATGTCTCCTTAAAAATATCAGATTTATTCCCTTAAATAACATTAGTTTAGAGTACTTAGGTTTGTTGCAACAGGGAGGGTAAAATGGTGTTTTTTTGTAAAATGTTAATAGTTTAGTATGAAATTAACGCATTTTCCAAATTTGATCAAAATATGATCGAAAACAAGCAAACTGCAACAGTTTACTTATTCTCCATATAAGAATAACATTGGAATTTTAAATTTAGCCTACAGTTTTCGGAATTTTCTCTGTGTGACCATTAGGCGCATGATAACACTTCAATATATACTAAATTATTTGTTTTTTTTAAGCTCTACGAAATGGTTTGGAAAGAAAATGCTAAATATTAAGTTTTTAGGGTCAAAAATGGGAAAAACTAATTTTTGCCTCATAAAACCCTGTTCCCACAGTCCGATCATGCTGGTTCGCCAACTCGTTGAATAAACATAGGTTTAACGTTTGTACCAAATTTCATCAAAATCGGATGATTTTTGGTCGAGTTATCGCGCTAACGGACACATATATAAATATATATATAGGCCTATATACAGGGTTAGTAAAAAGTGTGGAGACCCCCTGTTATTTTTTTAACGGCCCATACTAGAAAAACTAAACTCGGCACACTATTATGGCATGTTATGAAGTACTTTTTGGGCATAACCGCCACTTGGCGTTCATCCCCAAAATGGGGGATTTTGGGGAAACTAAAATATTTCAAATATACAAAGACCCATAGAGTTACCCCTCATTTTGAAGGTCCTGGTAAAAGAAAACCAACAACGCAAACTAGAGGTCTCTATCTCAGTTCAGTAAAAAATGGCAGCCAATTGAAATTCTCATAAGTTCCCAAACCCAAAATGGGGGATTTTGGGGGAAACTCAAAAATTTTAAATGATAACCTCCATCGAGTGACCCCTCATTTTGAAGGTCATAATAAAAGAAAAGTAACAACGCAAACTATAGGTCTCTATCTTAACACAGTAAAATATGGCAGCTAATTGAATATAAAATTGCAAGTTATTTGAAATTTCTAAAGATTTCAATCAGCTTCCATTTTTTACTGGATTGAGATAGAAACCTCTAGTTTGCGTTGTTAGCTTTCGTTTACCAGGACCATCAAAATGAGGGGTCACTTGATAAAAAATCCCACATTTTGGGTTTGGTAAGCAAGTGGCTAATAGGCTTAAAAAGTACTTCATAACATGCCAAAAAGGTGTGTAGAGTTTAGTTTTCCTAGTGTGAGCCGCTACAAAATTTACAGCAGGTCTCCAGACTTGGAAAGCTGTAAGTTAAATTGAACTTCTGAGAATTTCAATTGGCTGCCATTTTTTACTGGATTGAGATAAAGACCTCTAGTTTGCGTTTTTAATTTTCTTTTAACAGGACCTTCAAAATGAGGGGTCACTCGATGGGTCTTTGTGTTTGAAATTTTTGATTTTCCTCCAAAATCTCCCATTTTGGGGATGTAAACCAAGTGACGGTTATGCTCAAAAAGTACTTCATAACATGTCATAAAGGTGTGCCGAATTTAGTTTTTCTAGTATGGGCCGTTAAAAAAATAACAGGGGGTCTCCACACTTTTTACTAACCCTGTATATAAATATATCTTACTAATCTTAATAATATTATAAATGTGAAAGTTTGTGTGTTTGTTTGTTTGTTTGAAGTTCAATCACGCATTAACTACTGGACGGATTGGGCTGAAATTTGGTATGATTATATAGCTAATATTCCCGATTAACATAGGCATATTTTTTTCTCAAAAATCCTTTCGGGCTCCGCCCCAGTGGCTCTGTGGTTCCCCATGTTAACCTTATGAGTATTCATATTTAAAGGGAATAAAAGTTTTTAGTCAGCTGTTTCATTAAAGTTCAATCACGCAATAACTACAGGACGGATTAGGCTGAAATTTGGCATGATGATAGCTAAAATTCCCGATTAACATATAGGCCTATTCTTACCTCAAAATTCCATTCGTGCTCCTAACCTAGCCAATTTAGGTTAGGTTAAAGTTTGGCTTAGATTAGTTTATGATAGGCCTAATATAAAATAAGGAAATATACTTCAATTAACCAAAAGACGTTTTGTACAGGAATGATGGATTTACCTCCTAACGATAACTGTTGGAAATCCATTATGTATATTACCAATGACTTTGGTTAATTAATGGACGAGAACTTAGGATTGTTGTTAACTGAGATTTGGTTGATTTGCCCATACTTTGTGTTCACTAGTGACACTGGTAAGTAGGCTAGGTGCGGGTGGACTCTTCCATTTTTGCGCTCACGTTCACTCATCCCGTTACGCGCAGAATAAGCGTACTACTAGTATTTAAAATGAATTAAAGACTTTAGTCAGCTGTTTCAACTTAACAAGTTGGTTCTATAATATGCAATAGCTAAGAGGGGAGTTAGTTTATAAGTTTAACAGGGTGCAGGGCCGGATTTCCCAATAGGCCCGGTAGGCCTAGTTGATAAAAAAATTCCAAAGCATTGTGATTCTGAAGTTCATAAGAAGAATTGTTAGGAAATATAAACAATTTTTCAGAATTACGCATCAATTTTGTTACAAAATTGGTAACGAACATTGGTTATACGGGAGTAGGCTGTGGGGATGTTTACGTTGACGAGCGCCAAAGGGGTACGCATCGTATTGCCACTGCACTGCCACTACTAGTATGCTGGCTCGGGCTCGGGCTCGGCACTACAGGCATTACTGATCAGAGTGATTAGGGGCAAATACGTGCTAGACATTCTTACCACCCTCACCTCACAAAACAAAAGTCATTAGGCCCTAACTAATCTTTTGATTAGTTTACAGCCATCTGCAGGATCAAGTTAAAATGTATAATAAGTTGTGTTGAATATTAAAACAACAATGAATTTACCTTTAAAATTAACAAAAAAATATTAATCTCAGTTTGCATTAGATTGTAAACAAATTCAATACCCTCCAAATCATTATTAAGTCAATGCTGTCATTTTCTCCTCAGACCTAAGGATCGGTACGGTTGACCAGAATATTGCTATGTTTTGCTTTGGAAATATAACCTAGATGCAGTACGACCGTAGATTAAATATAACTCAAGTCGACTTCTTATGACACTGTTAATTCAAAATCTTTTCATGTCTAGTTCATGTTGGTGACACTGGACGTTAGTTTTGACGTAATTTTGTTTCTATTATTTTAGGGTTAGTTCTATGATGTGTGTTTTAATTTCGGGAGCCTACCAGTAGACCGACAAGAT